TCAACTTGCCAGGTGGTGAGAACAGGACATACAGGGAGTGATCTAGAAATAGCAGCAGTTCTGGACCTGGTCCAGAGGTGCACAAGGAGAAGACCTTATAGGGGATAGAAAGCCAATTTAAAACAGGCATAGTGTTTGCTTTCTTCATCTGTACATTTGTGGCTCTCCTACTACAGTAGGTGTCTCTGTGGCCTGAGGCTCACAACGTAACCTTTAAACTAGGACAAAGATCAAAATGTTTCCATACATCTCTTATCTAGTTGTGGTGGAGGTGTGAACGTACCCAAAACCGAGCTGTCTGCACACCACCTCTGCGTCCCTGTCGTCCCACTGGTCATCGCAGATAGAGCCCCACCTTCCTGCATGAAACACCTCCACACGACCTTCAAAGTCTTCCTCACCTCCAACCAGTCGCAGAGGAGGGCCACTGCCTGAGAGGAGTTTAAAAGATGGCATGAGATCCAGCAGCATCCACCTTGAATGCTCTCACACACATTTTATTGGTACCGAATCGCTCTGTGCCTCTTATGTATGGGCCGAAACATGCAGGTGCGTTTGCCACGACATTGTGGAAGTCACACTGACCTTCTGGTGGTGCGCACACCACTGCTGCTTCGTTTCCATGGCTACAGTCACCAGTGACGAACATCCTGCTCCGGCACTTACTCAGGGTGTTCTCATCGCCCCGGCAACCTAGACGTTCGTAGTGAAATAGGCCAGAGCCCGAGCCGAACTGAGAGTGCTGCAATGCTGTGCCGATATCGCTGAAAATAGAAACGTCACCGGTGAGAATGAACTTTTTACATCAGTCACACGTCACTGTAACTCGTAGCAGATGTTTCATCCGACCTACCCCAGACCCAGCTGTCTGCAGATCACACTGGCATCCCGGTCTGTCCAGTGAGAGTCGCACACTGCTCCCCACTGGCCGTTCAGGTAAACCTCAACTCGCCCGCTGCCAGAGATCGAGCTGCCAACCAGACGTGTAGCACCTAAAATCACAAACACGCAAATTTTAATGATCAGAAAACTCAAAAATTCACAATGGCAACACAAGTAGATAATAAACATAATTTTGACATAATAACCCAAATAAGTTCAGTACAAACTCGTCTTCACAGGCATCACACATACTGTGAGGCTAACCGCTCATCAAGGTGTTTGTTATTCAGTTATTAGATTGTGATCGTATCTCTGGCAGAGCTCCACTGTTTGATTCAATATTCAGCACTGAACACCTCTACATCACTTTATCAAGCACTTGTCTGTTGACACATCCTGCAGACAAACATTAGCATTCCTTTGAAGTTTGGTTTCAGGTGTATCTAAAATCGACAGTCATCCTTTAAACTCGTTTGTCCAGAGGGGAATATCTGTCTCTTCAAATGCTAATCCCTCCAATACATGCAACAGCTCGTAATCATCTGTGGCTGTCTGTTGTTTCATAGCAAATATATAGCTATACAAAACTAAACTTGTTTTCCCAGCAGACCAGTTTTACAAGATGACACAAAACCAGTGGCCTGTTTTGTTTTGTTTTTTTAAAAAGCATTTACATTTATCAGATAAAATTAACTCAACAGACACTTTGTTAGGTACACCATGTGGAAACAACTCAGTGCATTTAATCAAAATGATACTGTTGAAGTTAAAACTGAGCAACACAAAGTGGATAAAATGTGACTTTGAATGTGGCATGGTTGTTGGTACTGGACAGGCTGGTATTTGAGGAACTGCTGACCTACTTGGATTTTCCCACACAACCATCTCTAAGGTTTACAGAGACTGGTCTGAAAAAGAAAAAATATGTAGTGAGCAGAAGCGTCCTCTGTCCTGCTACTACTCATTACAAGGTATGCAGAAGAGTATCTCTGAACATACTGCATGTAGAACCTTGAAGCAGATGGACTACAGCAGAAGAAGAAAACACCGCGTGTCCTTCCTGTCAGCTAAGAACAGGAAACAGAGGCTACAGTTTGCATTTGATTGGAAATACATTGCCTGGTCTATTGAGTCTTGATTTCTGCTGCAACACACACATGTTAGTGTGAGAACATTTTGTAAACAACATGAAAGCATTCCAGCAGGATAACGTGCTGAGTCACAAAGATCAGGTATTCTCAAACAGGTTTCTTGAACTGACTGAGTGAGTCCACAGTCACCAGATCTCAGTCCAACTGAGCACCTTTGGAATGTGGTGGAACAAGAGATTCACATCACTAATGTGATGCTATCATGTCAGTAGGTACCAACATCTCTGAGGATTGTTTCCAACATCTAGATGAATTTGAGCCACAAACAACTGAAGCAGTTGTGAAGGAAAAAAGGGATCCTCAGTGTCAGGTGAGTGTAAATAAATACTAAAAGCCCCACAATCACATGGATTTGAAAGCAGTTATTCTATTAAATACATTAAGTTCATAGATGTTGGTAACATTTGAAATACCTGGAACTCTAATCAGTTTACAAATTGGTTGTTGAGCCAGTCAGAGGCTTATTTTTAAATTGAGTAATACTGATATAGAAAGTTTAGATTTTACATGCCAGAAACCAGATTTAGAAATTATTCTTCATTACAAGAGGAACTGGGGTTCGGTTTATGACTGTTTTACTGTAATTGGAGCCACAATTTACAAAATGAACATCCTGCTGATTTAAAGAACTCTTCAAACTTGCATTGAGAATATAAACTCATCAGGAAAATATTTACTAAAATAAATAAAATGAAAAACAGCGTCACATTCCCCTTTTGGACATTTAAAATAATGCAGTTTAAGGAACTTGTGCACAAAGGGTCCACACGTTATTGCAGCTCAGTCATTAATCAGTCATGACTGCCAAGTATCAATAGAATTTTATCTTTACACACCAAATTTCTTTGGATTTTGAATTGTTGCAGTTGTTTTGCAGATATTACCTTTTACATAAAAGAGTATCTTCCCTTTTTTTTGGTGTGAAAACCTTGTGAACAGCTTAACCAACAGCTAACAAATGTTTCATTTGAATCTGCTGGGGGGGGATGCGCACAGCACTAAATGTGGAATGAAATCATTTAAAGGTCAACTTGTTTTTAATCATGCATGAACTGTTCAGAGCGTCTGTGGATATACCCTGGTGGCAGTCGCAGTAGGCCCAGCCAATTGCTCCTGAGTTCTGTCGGAAGAAACACCACGGGTTGGACTCGCGATCCGGGTTCCTGCAGTAGTTGTGGTCACCCAGGCCGCGGCCCGGGTACTGCATGACATAGTCTGGAAACTCAGTCCATTTCAGACAGGGGGCACCAGAGTCCGTCTGCGACACGGTGCCGTTGTAGTATCCCAGTTCTGTGAATCCCTCAGAGCATGACAGAGGCACTGCACACCAAAGGGAGAGGAGAGTAAGTATATGTTGAGGAAGATGAGAGAATGAGATGTTTTGGATGAAAGGACGGGTATTTGGGTCAGCGAGGACAATGAGAATAAAAGAGATAGTTTGGGAAAAGAGAGGTGAAATGGGAGTAAAACGGGTCTTATTTAAATCACATTATCCCCGTGTCTTTATTATATCTTAACATAAAACCCTACATGGATGATTCTCCAGTACTGCAGCAGGATCCCCTCTAAGGCATTCAACCACACTGATCCATGGTGAACTGGGGAAATTTCCATGACCCTGAACCTCCTTATTTAACACGGTGGTGGCCAGATACTGCCAGTAATCTTCTCTGAGAGGGAGGAATGGGTGAGTGAAGCTTCGACAGTCTGAGAGGGAAACTGCTGACATCAAAGTGTAGCAAAATTAGGCCACAAAATGTAGAGCAGGTTTTGTGCTGCAGCTGATTAAAACGCACACAGAATGCGCTAATGAAAAGAAATCATGCTTAAAAATATAATGGGGAGAGTGGTGCACATACAGGCACTGCACAGCACACTCAGAGGTGCAAAGTCACTTAAAAAGGTAAATGATTTATACAAGTAGAGTGGAAAATAGGATCTCTCTGACTTTAGTTACTTGATCTTTTTATTGTATTTGCATATTTGTTGGAATGTTGGTCTGCAGGGCCACACTGAACTATAACATGTTAAACAATGGCTGAACCTTTGCTGATTGCATTAGTCCTTTGCTTCTGTGACAAATGTGAGAAGGGTGGCTGAACTTTGGTACAGATATCCAGGATGTTTGCTAATGATTTTTCTGTTTTTTCTTCCACTCTGTGGAAAGAGCAGCAGCACCTCAAACTCGTTCCTGTGAAAGATCAACATCTGCTTAATGTGGCACAAACAATCAGTCACTACATTTTTTATTCACAGCACAACAGCAAACAAGCCGAAGACAGTTAAGAGGAAAAAATAAAACAATCCCGGTGAAAATTATGCCAAGTTCATTACAAATATCAACAAAATGTTAACTATAATACACAACTTTGTCTGCCAACTCGGGCTACATGCAGGTTCTTATCTATATTGCCTTTTGTTGCCTAACAACCACCTAGCAACAGACTGAAATGAGCAGTTTTTAGCACTAATGCGCTTACATCAGCCTACCATCTAACTTATATTAGATACAACAGGATCCTGAACTGCTGTTTATGCCATTTTCCTCCTGCATCAGTAACACAATTCTCTGTCAACCTTAGAAATAGTTATGAGTACATCAGCAGTTTCTGAAATAATCAGATAAGCCCCTCTGGCACCAACAACCACTGCACATTTATGTCACTTAAATCACCTTTCTGTTCAATTCTGATACTGAATTGAACTTCAGCGGGTCATCTTAACCATGTTAACCTAAATGCAGTTTCTGCTATGCGATTGGCTGATTAGGTAGTTGAACAGCAGTTGCATCCAATAAAGTGGCTAGTGAGTGTTTTTTTCTTCTTCTGTCTTTTCAAGTTTCGCTTTGGCTGATCTGTAAGTATGAAAACCCCCTAAACCAAAGAAAGAGCTCGACTGAATGTTGTTTTCTACAGCTACAGGAGTGTTTTCCTCTTGAGTCGTTGCATCTTCCTCTAAAGAACTTACTTTTCCCTCACCAAAGCTTCGGGGGTTTCGGAGGCCAAGCGGCTACTAAACCATGATTAATGGTAGCAGTGTATCAGCAACCCCCAACCCTTATCTCTTCAGCACACACCGCCCTGCAACCCTGAAGCTCACCTCACACACTAACGCACATCCATAGATTTCACTGCAGAGTGACCAACACTGCAACACACAAACACACACAGACAGACTGGAGGCAGATAAGAGGAAAAGCAATTCTGAAGTAAAGCACAAATGTATCCTTAAGAATTAAAAAATCTAAATCAACCTCATACTGGACTCAAAACCTGAATGCGGAGCAAGCAGCAAGAAAAAGGGTGCCTGTCCCTTTAAGGAAATTTGACACTGAGGAAACCAAAAGCAAAATACTTCTGGAGAAAGGGAACTGAGCCACACTCATTATTCTCACTCCCACACCAACGAGGAGCAACAAGTAAGTAGTCACTAGTAACCTAAGCTTTCTTAATAACACATAGCTACTGCAATTAATATTATTTATGTGCTGTACGGTCATAAACTTTTTTGCCGGTAAAGCCTTTTAGCTGAGAAATGTTGTCACAGCTCAAAAATATGATCACACGATCTCTTTAGTGATATTCCCGATTGAAGATATTTGTTGTCTAATTGTCGGAGTCGAATTTCCCACGTTTCACTATGTTTCCGGTGTCCGTAGTGAACTCTGAACTGCAGCTTTTAGGGCAAAAAGCATGAGAAGTGAAAGTAACAATAACAACATACTTTCCAGCTGCATATGCCAAGGATACAAAGGCCACGTGGGACTAATTTTATAATTTTTTTTTTTTTTTTTTTTAGTTTATCTGATTATGACTCCAACAATAGCATAAAGTTCAAGGAAGTTGCCAGTCTATTTGAAGGTTACCGACAGAGTGGGATGATACCTGTGTACCACACATAGTTGGCCAAATGAGTAATAGTTTAAGTGGTTTCTCTCATTCATTGCCTCACTGTGTCAAAACAAGTCTGGAAAGGTTGATAAAACCGAATCCATTAATAGAAGTGCTAGAAACTACAGTTTCTCTAGTGGCCACTTGATGCTAGCTTTAAAAGAGGAGTGTGTTAAGATGCCTAAACTTACAGCAGGAGAGCATGTTTGAAATAAAAAAGAACTGAACTGAACTGAACTGAAAAGCATTTGTACATCCTGAGGAAAAAACAGATTTGGTTCTTATAGATGATTTCCCCCATTCATGGCAGCTGTACAAGGCGTGGAGATTTTATAAAAAAAATTTCTACTTGTTCAAAGGCTTAAACATATGGATCATAAGCAGAGTGTGATATGTGCTTTTCTTTTTCCATGAAAATAATTTAGAAACTAGAGTGGTCCTGTATATTTTTAAGCCTATTAGAACTTTTTTTTAAATGTATTCTATTCTCAATGTAATGTTTATAGAATAATTGTGAATTTTGAAAGTTCAGAACTTAAACATATGACAATAGCGTATACTCTGCTGTGTAGTTTCTAAGTGAAACTAAAATGTGTAATATTTTATTGCCAATAAAACGAGGCAATACAGACTGTTTCGTTTGTGACTTCTTTCACTTTGTGCTATTTGGCCAGCTGTGCCAATTACAAAACAACACAAAATATGATATTCTGTCCCAGCAGATTTTTTCTTTCTCTGCTTTAATGACATATTTTTTTTCCCATAGAGGAAATCTGTCATCTGTAAACCCTCTTTTACCCATATCTGCGAATCTTCCGACTGAGAAGGAGGCAAACTTGTTCGTTTGCTGAGATCAACGAACTAATAAATGTGTGAAAATGACTCAGCTCTCTAATGTGTTTTACAGCATCATGGACCACAAGTTCTAAATGTGAACGATGCACTAAATGACAGTTATATTAGGGATGATGTAACGCAGAAATGTGGTTGCAACCTCCCCATCAGCCCATCACCACAACTCCACCATCAACTGCAAAGCCAACAATCCGTGTACATAACTTTTCTTCACAGACATCCTGAAAACAACGGTTTCTAAGTGCAGAATGTGAGACAGCCGCCCTGGTTCAGCGATATAAGAAGACTTCACCAGTGTAGGAAATTCTGATGTCAACAACCAGGTGAGTATTTGATATTCAGTAGAAATGTTTCTGTCTTTTTCATGAGACTACTGCAAAATCTGTCACTCTGAATCCTTTTTAATCCTCTTTTATTTGATTAGGAGTAGCTTTTGCTCTGAAACAGCTAAGATCATGCTTCCTGCTAGTCTTCTCAGACTGAAAGTGAAAGCCAATTTTACTTACACTTTAACCCCACTGGGAATTTCTTAAATTTTTATCAGAGGCAGGGACTCGTAGACCAGCCTGATTATAAGGGGTGTAAGCCCTTTGATTGACAGCTGGGTTTGCCCTATTCAGCACTGAGATATAAGAAGAAAAGGAATCAGCTGTTTATTTTCCCCAGTAGGTACATTTTGTTTCAAGTCTGTTGTTTGGTTGCCAAAATCAGCATCCTATTTAATATCACAGTGGCAGCTCGGTAACCATCCACCCTAACTAGTGCAAGCATTAACTAACTTCCAAATATGATCACATGTGATTTAAAAATGAATAAATCAATATATAAATAATGATGTTCAAGATATCAAACGAGCAGTTCCTCTTAATGCACAACTACGATCATCTGTGATAGCTACTAACTCCTTTTAGTAAGACTCAATATTAATCAATCAATATAAGTCAGTATAAATCAGTAAAAGTCATCACATTCACATGGAAAAAAAATGTTGGTCTTATCCAGTTCAATTTGTATTAATTCATCGTATATATCTGTTTTAATTATACAATCTAAAATATACATATATGCTATAAATATACTTGTAAAAATATCAAATGCACAGTCCTGTGTTATATTAACATATACACCTTTATACACTGATCTATAGTTATTTAACTACACCTCTCCAAAAGTATTGCTTTTTATAATACGTCATTCTTAATATAAAGATTTAACACCCCACCGCTTCCATATAGTGCTTTATTGGTGTTTTATATAATTTTTTTAACTGATTTATATTTGTATAGCCTTCTCCACATTACTCCACAAAAACACTCCACAGGCTGTTAACTGCATGCTCCTCGTTGTTGTCCTCGCTTTGTGTTTTTTCAAATGTAGCTCCCCTCTCTGTCTGTGAAAACTTAACATTTAAAATTTTTGGTAACACATTATTTCTTCTTCTGAATATTATTTGACCAGTTTTAAATCTGACCATATCTGTGAATTTCCACATTTTTGAATTTAGAAATATATCCGATCTTATTAACTGTCCTTACTGCACTTTTTGTGCATAGTGACTGTAGTGTGCTTTTATACCCACATAGCAAAATTTGTATGGCCCGGATCTGGCCCACACAATGTGCTTACACATGGCCCACATACCGCAAAGTATGACGACCCTTTGGTGGCCCAGATCAGGTTTGTCAGAGGTGGCCCGCACAAGGCCAGTTGCAGACACACTGCTGACCCAGAACAGTTTCAGCTCTGCCCCCAGATGTCAGCCTAATGTGTACCTTAATCAAGCCATGTAATAACAACATGTGCCAGAACACAATAGTAACATGAGAAAACTCTGTTCAGACAGTGAATGGACTGATTCTTATATAGTGCTTTTCTACTCTCCCAGATTACACAAAGTGCTCTATACAACATGCCACATTCACCCACTTCCTCTAAATTGAGTGCTTCATAACTACATTCAAACTCTTGACATGCAGACTGGGATCGAACCACTAACCTTCCAATCAGTAGGTGACCTGCTCTATCTCCTGCGCTATAGCCAACCAGTAGTAAACATGAGTAAACCCTCACTAGGTTTAGGATAAAGTGTACATCACAAACCTGTCAAACCTGCAATTGAAACGTTGGCTACCATAGCAGTATAGTATTGCAACATGGCATTTGGGTCTTCTAACTAAAATAGGAAAATAGGAACATAAATAGTGCTGTCATTGCCAGACCTGGCCCACGTCTGGTTGACATACACCCTGCCATGACACCAGTCAGTCAGAAGGGCCAGCTTGATGCCGGATCCAGGGAAGACCTGTTTTCTATGAGCCTGGGCCACATAAACCAAACCACAATCAGGCCAGATGTGGCATGCCATCACATAAACAGTGCCATCTATGCCAGGCATGGCCCATATCTGGATGACATACCACTTACCCATGCCAGAAGTCACCCAGCAGTGCCGGCTTGACACCAGGTTCGGGCCAGACCTGTCTGCTCTGTGGGTTTGTGTTACCCCACATCTCCATATAGTGAGCTCTCACATTAGCTCATCTAATCAGTCTATTTGTGAATAACATCAGTAGTTATGTTATTAGAGATCTGCAGCTCAGATCTGCACAGCCAGGTGCTGTTTTTATATGGGTTAGTGGCTTTAAATTCATAAGGTTAATAAAGTTAATAAAGATTCATGAAGTTAGCAATAAATTCATCTTTATTTATACAGGAAAATGCCTATTTACTACATAGCAACAGGTTAAAAAAAAACGATGCAAATACATAGTTAGAAAATGAAACGAGAAAGAATGGCATTTATTAAAAACCCAGTCTATAAGCATGGGTCCATTTAATCCTGAGTCTCGATGATGGTGCAGTTTGGTACATTTGCTCTGTGGTTTAAGTGCAGACTATCTGGTTATGAAGTGATTTGAATGTTATCAGGACGATGCTGGCTGAAAAAGGAAAAATTTGTTCCCGGGCAATACTGAGGCTCATTAAGGTGATCGCACAGGTCGCATCCTGTTCTGCAGCCTGAAAACAACAGAGCGAAACCTGCCATTCGAGTTTTAACTTTAATGGTTAAAGTCAGCGTTAAATAATTACAGCACTAAATGCAAAGATAAGCCTTTTGCTTATATAAGTAAACTCTCGGGGGTTGTTTTAAAGAGTTAGGCAAAAATGTAACTTCCACTAAAAATGCAGTGACAGCTGCTGTTAAAAGCTCCAGAATAGCTCATGAACTTATTTTAGCTAAAGCAGCTAATCTGAATGTTGGCCTAGATTTAATAGTGTTTGTCTGTTTTCTTAGAAATGGCATCTGGCAGCAGTCTCTTCTCTGAGGACCAGTTTCTGTGTCCCATCTGCCTGGATGTCTTCACTCGCCCAGTTTCCACTCCATGTGGACACAACTTCTGCATGTTGTGTATTGAAACCTACTGGAAAGATGCGCAAGTCTGTCGGTGTCCTGTCTGTAATCACGCTTTTGAAAGAAGACCGGATCTCAAGGTCAACACTTTCATTTCAGAGCTCGCGTCAAACGTCTTGTCGCTTAAAGCTAAAGATTTTGACACCTGGAGTGCTCATTCACTGCAGGCCAGCCCTGGAGCTGGGGTGCTATGTGGCATCTGTACCGACACGCCGCAAGAAGCAATTAAATCATGTGTGGAGTGTCAGACTTCATACTGCGACGTTCATCTGGCGCCTCATCACCTTGCCCCTGGACTGAAGAAGCACACGCTGATTGAACCTGTGGCGAGCCTGGAGGGGCGCATCTGTGAGGAACATAACAAGCTGCTGATGTGGTTCTGCAGAGATGACAGCGCTCTGTTGTGTGACGTCTGCTCCAGCTCCCGCCACAAGGAGCACTCTGTTGTTCCTGTGGAGCGGGCGTACGACGAGAAGAAGAACCTGCTGGAGCACACTGAGGGTAAAGTGCAGCGGATGATCCAGGAAAGGCTCCAGAACGTTGTGAAAGTGAAGGAATCAGTAAAGCTAAGCAAGACAGAAACTGAAAAGGTGACTGCCAGCGGCGTGCAGGACCTAACAGACCTGGTGTCTGAGATTCAGAAGAGTCAGACAGAGCTCATCGCGGTCATCGAGGAGAAGCAAAAAACTGTAGAACAAGAAGCAGGAGGGGTAATTAGTGATATGGAGAAGGAGATCACAGAGCTGCAGGTGACAAGTGTGAAGCTGATTGAGCTAAAGCAGACTAAAGATCAGCTCCATTTTCTCCGGCACTACCCAAGCTCCTCTGTCCTGCCTCAAACAATGGATCCTTCCCATCTCAGCTTTAACCGACACCTGGAGATACAACACATAGGCGAATCTTTGAAAAACTCCGTCTCCCAGCTGCGAACAACGCTCAACAAAATGAACACAGACATACAAAAACTGTGCGACAGATCAGACGTGTCAAATAAAGCCACGCTCAGATATATGCAGCAGTATGAGGTGAACGTCTTGCTGGATCCGGACACGGCTCATCCTCTGCTCATGATATCGGACGACTTGAAACAAGTAAGATACAGCATGCGCTCAGGATGGTTGGCAAACCAAATCTCGAACCCAAGCATGTTCACTGAGCATCTTGCAGTTCTGGGAAACAGAAGCTTCTCATCCCGCAAGTTTTACTTCGAGGTTTACGTGGGCCAGAAGACCGAGTGGTGTCTGGGCATGGCTGCTGCGTCGGTCCAGAGGAGAGGGTCACTCAGTCGGGATTCGCGTAGTGGGCTGTGGGCCATGTGGTTCCTGGAAAATAAGTTTGAAACCTTCAACTCTCCGGATGAGCTGGTACACTTTGGGAAAGTGGAGCGGATCGGGGTTTTTGTGGATTACGACCGAGGTCAAATATCATTTTGGGACACGGAGGCTGCAACACTTATTTACTCTTTCACTGAGTGTTTCTTTACCGAGGAGCTATATCCGTACTTTAATCCCTGTGACAATGAATTTGGCTCCAATTTAGATCCCATGATAATAGTTCCTGTTGGTGAAAGCGAGTCAGCGGGGCTTCAGAGACTCACCCTTTGAATCAAATATTTTATTCTGTTTGAGTCTTTGTGGGGTAAAAGCCAAGTGCCTTACATTTAAAGACATATATCCAATATGAAGGACGTTTTGGATATTTAATGTCTTTATCAGATATTTATCAGTGAGATAATGTGAATATGTGAGGTTTTCTTGCTAAATTTGCTAATCGCCTATCCAAGTACAGATTTTTTTCAGTTTTGTTTGGTTTCTTTTTGCTATTAATTAGCTAGAGAAAAATAGATCAACAATTCTAACGTGTTTCAGCTCCTCGTCAAACTGACACAACATTTGGGCGTTTTTCTCTCGTTTGAAAATGTTCAGGTACAAGGATGGGACTGAAAATGATGGAAAAATCTTCCAGAAAGCCTGAAGAACTATTGCTGCAGACCACTTTAAAATTACAAGAAAGACTGGCTCCTTGGAAAGAAAATATAAAGAAATGACAGTAGAATAAATCCAGTTTTGACAAATAAAAAGGAAAAGCAAACTGATAAAAACAGTGAATGTGAATCTCAATATGAAAGTCTCTCAATGTTTGTTTTAAGGAGGAAAATAATATTCAAACCTTCAGAAAGTTTAGATGTGCATTTAATGACTAATGAGTTATTTATTATCACAGTTTTTCGTATAATAATTAAATTATTTAGTCTATCACGTTATGACACATTGCCAGGCAGCTTCATAATTGTCTTATGAATGTAGGACGGTGGCTTCATCTGCAGACTAATTCATTACACTACAAAAAAAAAGACTAAACTATAGAGGGGGGTTTTTTCTGCTACATATGGTGACGTCAGTTTAAGGGTGAAAGGTTCGAGGCTTGTAACGAGTTCGGCACTTCGTGCACAGAAGATTGAACAGCATGTTAACGAGGGAGAAGAATGGGTGGAAATAATAAAATTGAGGATTTAACTGAAAAGAAAGTGGTGCTGTAAATGGGAGCAACCCCTGTGATTTCAAGACAAAATATGAATTCACCAGGTGTTCTTACTTATATAGCCGACATGGAGGTACGAGTGGAGTCGGTAAAGTGGTGAAAGGACTAAAAGGATGTGCGTCTGTAAGTCACGAATAGATGCACATTTTGCACGTGTTTACGGATTTGTAGAAAGAAATGTTGCTGCGGAGTAGTGTATTCTTTTGTATGTGTTTTTGGGCACTGTGAGCACTGCTAAAGTAGATTCCAGTATATTAAACAGATACAACAGATATATCCACATAGCAAGTCAGAGAAAAACACTGTCCCTTTAATTTTGATATATTTAATATTACATATATACCTGATTGAACATCGATCTGATTTAATTTTCAAGTGTCAACTGGAGTCATAATTCCCTGACTCATTGCAATGGTTTTTGTATTTTTTTGCAATATCCAAATAAATAATATTTGTGGGGAATGAAAGTCAAAATAAATGACATTTTTTGCCTACAATTTGTGGATTTTGTAGCTCCTTTTTTCACCTCTCTCATATCCAGCACAGTTTAGAAGTTAATGTAATGTGTACAGAAAGAAAGTGATAGGTTTTTGTGTTACTGGTTAGTTGGCAGTACTCCGCAAACAAATGAGGCTTAAAATACACTGAGAAGTCAAGGAGGAGCCAAACAGTCATGTCCAAGGCAAATTAATGTTGTTGCACTAAAATCTGGACAGTACCTACGGAAGAGGATTAGGGCCACAGGAAGAAGAAGAAAAAAAAAGGGGGCACGTTTTTTTTTTCTTCTTTTCCAGAATTCTGAGAAAAAAGTCAAAATTCTGAGATTAAAGTCAGACTTGTGACTTTTTTCTCAGAATTCTGGAAAAGCAGGGGGAAAAAGACGTGCCCACTTTTGTTTTTCAGTGGCCCTAATCCTCTTCCATAAATACCCGAAGTTGAAAAATGGTAAAATTTCCAATAAAGTGACAAACATGACTTTGGCCTTGAGCAGAATTTGGGTGAAAATCCACTATATGATCACTGTGCTCAGGTACTACACCTGCAATTCTTGTCCATCTGACACATATTCGTGGCATAAAACATCAGACGTTTGGCCGGATGAGCTAAAAATGATTGAAAATCAAAATAAGTTGAGCATTTTAGAATATCGGCAAGAGAAAAGAAATAATAGATGAGATAAACACAATTGGAGATAGGAATTACACCTCAAGGTCATTGTAGTTACTAGTTGGGTCGCTGGAGAGTTAACGCTGACATTTTGTGTCGATGCTGATGAAAAATAAATGCACAACTTTATCTTTGAGCCATTTTTCCTTCTTTTTAAGCACTTAGGCACAAATACAAACAAACAATCATCAAATATTTAAAAAAAACACAGGATACACTGCCATGTTCCCTTACTGCTTTGTAATTCGTAATCTTACCATGTAAATCATGTAATATTTTCACATATATATTTTGCATTTGTTGTGCTGAATGGCAAAAACATGCTTAAAAGCTGCACAGTAGCATTAATCAAACTTTTATCTTCAGCTTCATAAAATTTTAATAAAGTAAAAAAGCGTTACGTAACTAAAGAAAAGCAACATTTTCAGTATCGCTCAAAACTAACATTTATTATGATTTTTCATGTCTCAATATGATCCCTAAATTCTCCCCTTGTTTATATTTCACCACTTTAATATTTCACTACGCTCTTTAATGCATTTCACACAATACTCGACACCCTCCTCATTGCCACGACAACCGCACTCTGCCCATCGCCATGGGAACACTCAGTCTCCCTTCTCCCGTAATCCGTTTCCCAGCCACAATGAGTATTTGACACGGTTCACAGTCGGAGGCTGGCTGTATGGGGGGTGGGTGTGTAGCAACAACATCCTCTACACAAAACACACTAATAAATCTGGAAACCTGAGGAAATTTGCTTTTACACCATTTATCCTCATTTCCACCCAATAAAAAGAGGCAATTTTAGCAGTATGTGAATTTATGCAGGTGTTCAGTATTGTTAAAAAGCCACAATTTGAATTCCCCGTGATGGATGGTGTGTTTCTGACTGCATGGGTCTGTCAGTGTGTAGCGAGTGTTAAAGCGGAGATGTTTCACCGCACTGGAAATGAGCCGAGAGGGAGGAGTTCTTTGCCCCAACCCCCCCTCCTATCTTCATCATGCCCTTCACTCCTCTCAGGGATGCGGAGAAAGAAAGAAGAGGAAAATGAAAGGCAGAGGGGCGCAGGCCAGGATGAGGGGGAGAGGAGAGGTAGGAAAGAGTGGGAGGGGCTTTGTGAGAGTCTGAGTCAGAATGTGGGTTAAACTGGAGGGAACGGAGAAAACAGCAGAAAGGAGAGCGATGGTGTAGGAGGGGAGGACAGATGGGAGGAGAAAGTAAATGCACAGAAAGAGGATGAGAGCGTCACCTCTCGCCTACCTGAGTTCTGCACCTCATTTAAGTAGCTGTCTTCAGCCACCACCTGCATGCACAAAAGAAAGAGAGTGAGACAAAGGACCAGAATTTCATCTTGGTATAATAGTAAACAAAGAACAAGAAAAAAACATGAAATTCATTTAAAAGCAAACATAAAAAGGCAAAGATCTTCTAAGCAGATTTGGTTGAAAACTGGTGGAAATTAGGCCACCAGCGCATGATTCATTTTCCACCACAAAGTCTGAACTTTAGTGAGTCGTGACGCATAAACAACATTCTAAAATATGCATGATGATTAGTTACAGGCCGTATCTGACTCCTCATAATTATGAATTGCAAAAAGCAAATGTGAAAGCACCAAAACAGCTGGACTGCAGCTCGATAATAACGCCTTAACACCCCCAAAAAGGGGAAAAGCCTTTCATTGAGTCTAATTAGAAACAAATTTAATGGACAGAGAGTCATAAGGTCTCAAGATTATCTCTACAATTACCTTCACTGAGCACGAAAGCAACTGTGGCCATTGTTATAAAATAAGACAGGTAATTTTCTATCTATAAGGTGTATATTTTAGATAATTTCGTTTCATTTCATGCCTCATACACAGATGCTCGTGTTAAACATGGCTCTGTAAGACGTCATAAGGAGCGGATATATCTGAAGCACAGGTGCCCTGCTCACCTGCTGTTCCAGCCTAATACTTGTGAGGGACAGCCACTCAGAATAAAAGTTAACTGAAGAGTAGAGAAACTGAAACTCTCTATTTCAGACAAAGGATGAACTGAGGGGGTGCACCAAGGCCCAGAATAAGATAAATAAGGATTATTTTGATCTGTGAATCATGCAAAGCTACTCTTGAGTCATGGAATAAAAAACATGGAGCTGGAGACGAGCAGAAGAGGTCCTCTTTAATGGTTTACTGCACACGGGGTAATCCCTTGAGTATTGCGTATATTTAGTTTTTGTGCAACTTTACATGCAGATTCAAGCATTTCCCCCTAAAGTATTCTGATTTGTTGGCATTTATCCTTGAACATGAAGTCGTCTCGATGTACTTTCGATGTATTAATGAGTTTACTCCCTGATTCTCACCACTTGAAGTATAAGTATAAGCAACCCAGGGACGACAGTACAGCACAGTAACTGCAAACACACACAGTACTAGACAGCATCAGAGTTTATATTGCAGTGTTTATTTCATTTTAGATATCAGATACACATTTACACAACACACAGCCCATCTGCTCTGCTGAGAGGGCAGCGATATACAGCGCATTTCACCGTCACACAGGTGAGTTCTGCTCTCTGCTTCCTGTCACTGTTTCTGGCCACTGCACACGCACGCGTGAAACCAACACGCAAACGCCTCCCAGAAGACTCAGCTTAATGGTATTACATCAGGAACAGGCGACCTGTGATAGCAGACACGGGTGCCGATATCTCCGCTCATGTCAATCACACGGCTCAATTACGGCGCTAATCTGCTCTTGCACCTGCGTCCAGTGTTTGGCCATGCAAACAGACGCACCACACCAGATGGAAGGGCAACAAATAAATAAGCAATAATCGAGACCGCTGCAGCACTGAGATAGGAAGTTGCTCCAAAGTGATGCTTTTAGTCATAAATGATCACACTCGTGCGTGCCACCTAGATGACTGTTGCTGGTACGGTTTTGGGATATTAATGATGATTTTTGTCACTTTTTTGATGTGAAACCTTAAAAGGGTCAAAACCTTTAAAGGGTAGAGTGATTTTACTTGGCATTTCTTATTATGTGTTATTACAAGGGAGCCTGGGGACCTGCAGAAGACTTCACGGTGGTGCTGAAAGCATAGTGACACAATGATTGTCAGGCACAGATAAGAAAAGTGAAAGTATTTATCAGGTCTGACAGCAAACCAGCTGCAGAGAGGGTTAGTTTATAACCAGCAGAGCAGGATTAGGAGGATTCTCCTCCACTAACTGACCTCACTGTTAAATTGAGGTTGAATCCTGATGTTTAATATGAAAATTTGGCAAAACAGGTGATGATTTTTTTTATTCCCCCCTTTATGCAAGTGACACAAAGAAATCTTGATTATAAAAAGTTCCTCGCTACAGTAACCTCAATGTTTAGCCAGTGCAAAATCAGCATCGATTTATATGGAGGTTCAGCTGATATAAACAGATATCCTAGTTGACTTTTTTTTTATTTAACAAAGCTGAAGTAAAGTAAAGTAAATCAGTTGATTATAATACATGAGCATGCTTCCACCAAGGCCGAAAGGTCCCCTCACACCACACATTCATTGAGTCTTTGGATCCAGATTAGTTTATGACAATGTCTCACAGTTTTTCTTCTTTCATTATGACTATTGTGAAAAAGGGGCTTCAGATCCAGATTAAATTCAAAAGTTAACCACTTGTGGGTCAAGCCACACCTTTGGTAAAAAACTAAAACAAGTAAAACAGTCTGCAACTTCTTATTAATAACTCATAAATCTTGCACAAAACACTGGACACAGTATGGCTGAACATTCCTTGACAATTAAGGTTTAAAGGGTTCAAGGCCATTGTGACTTTATACATTATGAATGTATCCATACTAATTCACAGCTTCGCTAACGCCATTATGCGTGTGTCTACAGGATTTGTGGTAGTGGTGATGTTTTACTCCAGTTAACAGACATGATCTTCTTGGCAATGAACACGGGAATGGGGTCTTGTCCTAAAGTGTTCTGAAGAGGTCCTCCAACTGAAAGCACCATCTATACTCAATACTCAACTGTTTTTGCTCCACTCTTTTATCCAACCAATATCCCTGGAGGACTGCAGTCCCTGAAGACATGCGAATGACCATTCATGAATCTGCAGTTCCTCCAACACAAAAGTGATGCAAACACAGGACCTAAAAAAACCTCATTCCAATCTTCCAATCAAATTCCTTAGATTCCATAGATGACTACAAACAGCTTTGTTCATGCACATGTCCTCACTGGCCAATTCAATTTAAGCTCCCTGTTTTATTTCACAGTGAGGGTGTTTTCTGCCACCCTCTGCTGTTACTAGTATCCTGTAGATTTGTGAATATGATTCTTAGTTGGATGTTTCAGTTTGTG